ATTACTTTGGGCGCGATGAGATAATTTTTAGTAAACAGGCAGCCCGACCTTTTTTGTATCTTGACGCCAATCATGAAATGCAGTCATTAAAGTGGCGAATTGGATCTAAGATTCGGCTAAAATGAACTGTGCCTTGATTCTCAGTTTTTGTTGACAAACAAATCTGAAAATAATTTTAAAATTTAGTTTAAGTCAATACAGATGCCATAAAACCCTGATAGATGTCGAAAATTGTGTTAAAAGTGCATTAAATTCAATTCACAGAAAACAAAATTTTACGGTGATTACTAATTGAGGTGGTGGAGATTACCAATTGAGGAGCGTGCTTGCCGCAAAACAGATTTGGGTGGCGGTGATTACTATTTGAGGAACTCTGGACTCCCTCCCTCGCATAACACGTATTACTCTCCGGGAAATTTAAACAGTGTATAAACATAACTTAGCATTGTCCTAGGAGGCTGATTTTTTGCATGCGAGCTTAAAATTATGTATATTACATGCATATTTTGGTTTTTGAACGGATCTGAGCAAAAGTACGCGCGCTTTTTGTGAAAAAATAGGACTTTTTTGACAGTAAATCAATCTTAACTTCATTAATTGCACTTGAACATTTTTCCTGATACTCTTGAAAAAAAATATGCGCTCAAAAAATTCACCTCCAAAGCCTTAAATGTCCGCGCGCGCGCGCAATAAAAGAAAATATCTTTGAATACTTATTTGCTAAGTTTGGCCTAAGTCAGAATAAAAGTATCATGAGATACATGAAATTATAGCAAAATCGGGACAAGGAATTAATTTCCGAGGTCAAAATAGACATTGGAGCCTTCTGACCGGCGCGCTAGTAGCCGGCAGTTATATTATGGGTCAACTTAGCTCAGATTTTACATGTTTTATGTCGATTTATAGGTTATTGGGCACGAGGAATTCATTTCTGAGGTCAACATAAATATCGGAGCATTCTAACCGGCGCGCTAATTGCCGGCAGTTACATCATAGGTCATCTTAGCACAGATTTTATATGTATGTTGTATGTCAATTTATAGGTAATTGGGCACCAGGAATTCAATTCTGGGGTCAAAATAAATATTAGAGCATTCTGACCGGCGCGCTGGTTGCATGTAGTTCCATTATGGATCATCTTAGCACAGTTTTACCTGTTGTATGTCGATCTAAAGGTAATTGGGAACTAGGAATCTTTTCTAAGGTCAAAATAAATATGGGAGCATTCTGACCTGCGCGCTAGTAGCCAACCATTAGATTATGGGTAATCTTAGCACAGATTTTGCGTGTTGTATGTCGATTTTTGGGTAATTGGGCAAGAGGAGTTCATTTCTTGGGTAAAATCATCGAGATATTAGTAATAGAGGGGGCATCTGGAATTTTAGACTTCTTGTTGTACAGCCACTGTACACAATGACCCGATCAGAAATTCAACCTGGGGGGATCAAAATTCGTAGATCAGTTTTGAAAGTTATTGTTTGAAAGTGAAGACTACAATATTCAAGCAAAGAAAACAAGTCCATATGATTTTTGTATAAAATTGGGCCTTGCCAATAGGGGAAAAAATTAAATCCTTCTCCTTAACCCTATCTCTGCTGGGGTACTTGAGAACCAGAATATGCTGGGGGGGGGGTCAATTTGACCGGTAACCGCCAAAAAAGTTTCCGGCAAAAAAGTCCTAAAATTTCACACTGTAAAAGTCCTGTGGAAAAAAGTCCTTTTATTAAAAAGTCTCTGGAAATAAAGTCCTACCAATTCGAGACTTTATTTTCACTGTACAGTATAAACCTAGCCAGGCAAAATTAGGAGAGTTATGCCCGCCCCCTGGGTAAAATCTTTTGTAAGACTCTCTGATCGACGCGCTGCTAGCAGCCAGCAGTCACCTTCTGGGTCATCCTGGCATATGTTTTAAATGTAGTTTTGTTAATTCTAGACACAAGTGTTCTATTTCTAAGGTAAAAAATTAAGTTTTTAGGACTCTGATCAGCTCGCTCGCATCTTCAGCTAAGTAGAATTTAGGATGGAGGAACACCCAAGGGTAGGATTTAGGATGGAGGAACACCCAAGGTTTATTTTTGAATAATCTAAAAAACCACAGATGTTTTATTACATATATACCACATTCAACTTTGATGCAAGGAAAAAATTGAACTGAAACTTGAATGCTTGTAATCCTTAAGATTATTTACGTTCCCAAAAAAGCAATATCCTCATAAAAATTTAAACGTGTATTAGGGCGGTGGAGGTGAATTTTTTAAGCGCATATTTTTTTCAAAAGTATCTGGATAAATGTTCAAGTGCAATTAATGAAGTTAAGATTGATTTACTGTAAAAAAAGCCGTATTTTTTCACAAAAAAAAACACGCGTGCGCGCGCACTTTTGCTCAGATCCGTTCAAAACCGAAAATGCATGTAATTTACATAAATTTAAGCTCGCATGCAAAAAATCAGCCTCCTAGGACAATGCTAAGTTATGTTTATACACTGTTTAAATTTCCCGGAGAGTAATACGTGTTATGACCCGTCACCCCCCCCCCTTTCTTGATATCTCCGTTAATTTTAAAAATACGAAACGGCAGACAACATTTTGGAAATCCTGAAACTATATTATGCTAATTTTGGTTGCACTATGCTCCTTCAGTTCACCATGTTTGAACTATTAACTGTGCAAATTGTGTTTTTTCTTGTGAATACTTTGACTTATGCATTTTTTACTTAGGCTTTTGTTTTATCTAGGGTTTTGTATTGAGCAGTACGAGCGGGGGAAGGCAGGCGGCCATAAGCCACACATTTTCCACTTCCATGTCACGTATTAGCTTTTTTTTGTCTTCCGGCAGCTTGTTTCTAATCATGACAATCTATAATTAACTCTTATCTGTAGTAAAATTCTTATGCCATAATGTCAAAAAAATAGTTAATATTTTTCATTACACATAAAAACCAAGATTTAAAAAAGTTGTGCTGTATGATGGAGGCTCGTTTGCTGCATAACGGAGGCTTAGTCTCCATAGTGGAGGCTCAGTCTGCCTAGCAAATATGGAAGGCTTGTGCCTGCATAGTGTACTGTAGGCTCATGGTGTCCGCATTACAGATTTCCAAATGAAAAGATTCTATTTTGCAAATTTCTCGTTAAATAATGAAAATTTTAGGCTATGAGCGCCCTTTGAACTTAAAGAGTATGTTATGGTGCATCATTTTTATTTTTCATAACATTTGTAAAAATAAGCCATTTTAAAGGAAAGATTGAATTCAATTTTGGGGAAAAGTAATAGTAGCAGTTCACATTTAAAGGAACCATCATTATTCTAATTTAAAACTTAAATAGAAGTATAATTATAGATAACTTTTGCATGACGTAGCAAAATAGCAATCAATGCGCTAAATTAACATTAGAAAGCGTAATAATTGCCGGAAGACTCGAATGTTGTGGCATGGAAGACCGAACGGTTGTGGCTTATCATACTGCCGGAAGACAAAAAAGCTAATATGTGGCATGGAAGGAAAAAATGTTGTGGCGCCTGTGGCCGACTGCCTTCCCCCGCTCCCAGAACACTAAGTCCAATAAGCGTTACTTATCGTTGGAGTGTACTGCAAAATGTACTTTGTGAATGATATTGGCGCGCGTGTGTACTCTGTGTACCCGGTGGACCCCCGGAGTTGTGATAAGAAACAAGTTTAAGGTGGAAGGAAGGATGAAGTAGGACGGATAGAAAGGCAAATATATCCAGGCAGTAGAACTAGTATACACCACAATATAACATCTAGGCATTCAAGCAGTAAACACTTCAAGCAACAGTACTTAGTTCGGACCTGTAGTGCAATATTGTGACAATCTCATACAGAAATTAAGAAGACTCAAGATTAATCGAGTTTTACGGGGTATGGTTTCCACTTTTTTTCCGGTTCCGTGTATCAGTTCATATCCCCTAGAGTTTTTACCACATCTATACAATGTTAAAAGTAATATTATGACCCCTGCTGATGTTTATTAATGTATTCTGATTAGAAAGACACAATAGATATTATCTCGAATAAATATTAATTGTTAGAAAATGTTAAAGGAAGACGATATTTGAGAGAAAATAACCTTTTTTCCGGGTTCCTCTTTTATAATAAATTCTAGAACTGAACTCGCATTTAATTATGTAATTTAATAAGGTTTCTTGATTACATTGTTTTTTATGTCAAACTTTGGTATTTAAACACTAGGGGAGATGAACTGATGTACGACACCGGGTCAATTTCACACGGTAAAGTGTGGATATGAAAAGAAGTTTACCAGACGAAAGGATGTCTAAACACTAAACATTTCCCACATTAGATAGACAACTAAAAAATGTAAACCCCTTATCAGAAGTATAAAAAGTTTTATAATATTTTTTTTTATATTAAAAAATCCAATATTTATAACTATCTATAACACTGTTATTTTGGTTTCCAGTTTTATAAAGTTTTTGGACAGAAATTTTCTCTTTATCCAGAAGGTTCAAGCCTTTTCAGATTTAATTTTGTCCTGAGCTTTAGCGAGGGACAAAATATAATCTAAATAGGAGAGAACCTTCGAGATAAAGAAAAAATTTAAGTCCAAAAACTTTATAGCCCGTCGTACCAAAATAATAGTATTATAGGTAATTTTATGAAACGTTTGTGTACTTGTCTTATTTCAATGGCTATTTTTAGATCAAATAAGCTTTGAAACAAAGCAGATGATTTCAATTTTATTTTCATTTAATTACAAAAAAAATATTTTGGAAATATAATTTTTTTGGGAAAAATCTGGGAACCAATCAAAGTATTATAGCATACGTGCTAGAATGTACAGCTAATTTAACATTATAGCATTACATTATAAAATTCACAATTAAGTGAGTAAGAATGATAAAGTACTCAATAGTTTCATAAAAAGATTAAAAGATGCTACTGTATGTAAAAAATTCTTTTACCCGAAGGATGAGATATCTTAACTTTCAATTATTTCTTTCAAGTTTTCGAACAATTCTTAAAAGGACAAAAACGTATTTTAAAATGACCCCTCATATATAAAGTGGCATGTCCGATTGTACGATGCTGTTTCCTTTTATATAAAAGATACTTTCCGCCATACATGAAAACATTGTCAAATTTTTTACACATTTTAATATATCCCTGATTGTACCTCAGAACGGTCTAAGTTACGAATTGGAAATAAATTACGTATTAAGTCACTGAAATTATTAACTCTTAATATGATTTAAGGAAAATATGCTAGAAATTCAATATGGCGCTCAACGAAGAGTTTAATAGAAGGTAAATACCTAATGTAAAGAGACTGAGTTTGGGCCATAGCTAAAATTTACTATTCTCTATATCTCTACATCCCATGGTGATGTAAACCTTTTTGTAAAACTTTAGTTTGGGTTGGATTGTTGTTAATAGGAGTGTATTTAATCTGGTTCATTTGTTAATTTTCAAAAAAAATTCTCAACACTTGGCAAAATAATAATTTGTCCGGCGTCAAAAACTTTACCGCTAATCTATGAATACAATGAAGTAGTTGAACTGCGATATATATCATTTAGTTCAACTATTTCATGTTCATCTTCCTCAATGTGACGATTAAATAAAATTAACCTCTTGTTCAAGATAATCTTGACAGCACTAGAGAATCACTTAAACCAACCATGCTAGTCGAACTAGCTCTCTAGTTCAAAAATTCCGACCTCTGATGATAATAAACCGTGATTGCTACATATATACATTGGTTGGCGTTTTTATCAAAACAATGAAGACGACTTTTCATTTAAGTTTTGATTTCTAACAAGCTTTTTTCAAATTACAAGTTCACCTAAGTAAACAAAGAGAAGCTGTTACATAATAGCTTCTCTTTGTTTCCATGTTTATGTGTATCCATGCTACTTAAAATCAAAAATCAAAAATTGAAATAGAATTTCATTTTCATTGTATTGATATATAGGACGAGGACAGTTATTTAATATTTACAATATGCCGACAAATTATAAAGGACATGATACGGGAAATCTAGGAATTAGGAGAGGAGGGAGGGGGAACTAGGCACTCAGTACAGGGGAAAGTAAGGATAAGGATTGTAGGCGGAGAGGGGAATATAAGATAAGGAATTTATACTATAGAATAGTTCGTGAAATAGAATTTGATTTTTAAAGATTAATTTCACAACTTAAGCAAGTTGAGAAGCAATGCTGAACATTTTTTTACTCAACATCTGAGATGAAAAACATAGAACTTATTTTGACATTTGATAGAAAATAAAAAGATTGAAAAATGGGATTTTATCCTGCACATTTTGTTTCAATGGGATAAAGATTGAATTTTTTTCATGCAAGTTCTGTAGTGCATAAAATAAAACAATTGACGCAGAAAATTCTGAGTTTTTTAGGGAATGTTTAAAATTTCTTAATGATTTAAATTTTTATTTCAGTGCGATTTGTTTTAATAATTAAATATTACAACATTTCGACTTTAGAATAAAGATCGAAGTACATGTATTCGTTTATTAAGTACAACTGTGTAACAGAGTACTGTTTTAGTTGGATAGTTTGTTGTTTTAAACATAAGACACATTTATCAATTTAAAAGAGAATTTTTTTTTTGTTAAAAATTTCTGTCTTGAAAATTAGCGGTGTGACGTGAAAAACTGGCCGGGTATAGTTTGACACTTATTAATAATTTTAACACTTTCTCCACCAAGTTATTTTATGAGAGCATTGATATACAACACCTGCTTAACATGAACATATTAACTAAACTTATTTGCTCAATTACTTCTGCAATTTAATAACTTTTAATGTTTTATCATTGCAAATTTCAAATTTCAACTGAGAATTAAAGGAATCTACCTAGAATCCAATTTATTGAACAAATTAAAATTGTCTAATAGCAACTTAATATGTTTTCGTCAATTTAAAAGATTCAACGTTTTCAAAAATTTATAATAATACAGGAAGACCCATAAAACTGTGGAATGAGAAGACGACTATAAGACTCATCACTCAAGTTAGAATTTGAGATAGTCCAAAGGACATGGAACATATAAATTGTGCAGTGCACACATGGACATATTTCATTTAATAAGTAGATTCTAATCTTAAGTAACTGGTAAAACAATTTGCTTTAAAACAACAAATATACAGGAGTTTTCTTAAATATCGTCCTCCATTTCCATAGTTTCATGTGCCCCAAGTTTTTGGGACACTCTGTATAATATGGCTATCGATTTTATTTTCACTTGAGAAGAAGTACATACAGAGGAAAATCAAAGGAAAGCCTAGTTTTTTAGAATAGAAAGATAGATTAGATTAGATAGAGTAGAGAGTAATATTAAGGAGGCTGTATGTGTATAGATAGAGATACATTTTAACCTTGTTTCTTTTAATTAGGAGCATACAATCATCTTATTTATACAATTCTTAACTAACATCTTGTTAATCTATTCTAACATCTAGTTAATTTATTATAACATCTAGTTAATCTATTTTAACATCTAGTTAATCTATTCTAACATCTAGTTGATCTATTCTAACATCTAGTTAATCTATTGTAACAAATTTTACAATAGATTAACTGTCATCTAGTTACTATTGTAATATCCAGTTCACATAATTCTTAACTAATATCTAGTGCATCTATTCTCATATCTAGTTCATCCATTCTTGAATATAGTTCATCAATTCTTATATCTAGTTCATCTATTCTTATATCTAGTTCATCTATTCTTATATCTAGTTCATCTATTCTTATATTCTTATATCTAGTTCATCTATTCTTATATCTAGTTCATCTATTCTTACATCTAGTTCATCTATTATTATATCTAGTTCATCTATTCTTATATGTAGTTCATCTATTCTTATATTTAGTTCATCTATTCTTATATCTAGTTAATCTATTCTTATATCTAGTTCATCAATTCTTATATCTAGTTCATCTATTCTTATATTTAGTTCATCTATTCTTATATCTAGTTCATCTATTCTTATATCTAGTTTATCTATTCTTATATCTAGTTCATATATTCTTATATCTAGTTCATCTATTCTTATATTTAGTTCATCTATTCTTATATTTAGTTCATCTATTCTTATATCTAGTTCATCCATTCTTGAATATAGTTCATCTATTCTTATATCTAGTTCATCTATTTTTATATCTAGTTCATCTATTTTTATATCTAGTTCATCTATTCTTATATCTAGTTCATCTATTTTATATCTAGTTCATCTATTCTTATATCTAGTTCATCTATTCTTATATCTAATTCATCTATTCTTATATTTAGTTCATCTATTCTTACATCTAGTTCATCTATTCTTATATCTAGTTCATCTATTCTTATATCTAGTTCATCTATTCTTATATTTAGTTCATCTATTCTTATATCTAGTTCATCTATTCTTATATTTAAATCATCTATTCTTATATCTAGTTCATCTATTCTTATATCTAGTTCATCTATCTTATATCTAGTTCATATATTCTTATATTTAGTTCATCTATTCTTATATCTAGTTCATCTATTCTTATATCTAGTTCATCTATTCTTATATCTAGTTCATCTATTCTCATATCTAGTTCATCTATTTTTATATTTAGTTCATCTATTCTAATATCTAGTTCATCTATTCTTATATCTAGTTCATCTATTCTTATATTTAATCCATCTATTCTTATATCTAGTTCATCTATTCTTATATCTAGTTCATCTATCTTATATCTAGTTCATCTATTCTCATATCTAGTTCATCAATTCTTATATTTAGTTCATCAATTCTTATATCTAGTTCATATATTCTTATATTTAGTTCATCTATTCTTATATCTAGTTCATCTATTCTTAAATCTAGTTCATATATTCTTATATCTAGTTAATCTATTCTTATATCTAGTTCATATATTCTTATATCTAGTTCATCTATTCTTATATCTAGTTCATATATTCTTATATCTAGTTAATCTATTCTTATATCTAGTTCATCAATTCTTATATCTAGTTCATCTATTCTTATATTTAGTTAATCTATTCTTATATCTAGTTCATCTATTCTTATATCTAGTTCATCTATTCTTATATCTAGTTCATCTAATCTTATATCTAGTTTATCTATTCTTAAAGCTTCCACCAACCCCCTTCTTCATTTCCAATGTGACATTTGATTTCACCGCAAACGATGTGATATTCTGTTATATTTTGTAGCGGCTGAAAAAATGGTTTTTGTTTTATCTGAACGATCTTGTGCTTTCCTGTCATGAAGTTGAGTACGCACAAAAGTGCGACATTCATAAATATATTTAAAAATTGCAGCTTTATAAATTAGATTAGACCCTGTAAACACAGCTATGAGTAGAATACGTGCATGTAGAATGTGGATAAATAAATAGATAGGTGAATAGGTGGATAGACAGATAGATGCATGCAGAAAACTTGAAACTTAAGATAATGCTCAAGAATTCGTTCAACTCTGAACTCTCCTTGTATTCGTGTTGAACAACAATTATCTATCTGTTCATCTTAGATTTTTGATTTAGATTTTATATACTATCTTTGTAGCTTTTATTCTTTATTTTCATTCTGATTTTAAAATACGATGTATCTCTCAAGACAAAATATTTTGGTCATTTTGGTCTATTAAAGAGACTGTTTTTCTAATTTTAAATGACCTTCCATTCAAAAATTAAGTGGCATGTACCCTTTATACTTTTATCTGTCGTTGTCTAACTTTTAAAAAGTTAATGATAGATATCTTTTGCATTCCTGAACAGAGGGTACTGGGGAGAATCAGACATGACACTCAAGAGAGACTGGAGAATCAGATATGACACTCTAGAGAGACTGGAGAACAAGACATGACACTTTAGAAAGAATGGAGAATCAGACATGACACTCTAGAGAGACTGGAAAATCAGACATGACACTCTAGAGAGACTGGAGAATCAGACTTGAAACTCTAGAGAGACTGGAGAATCAGACATGAAACTCTAGAGAGACTGGAGAATCAGACATAACACTCTAGAGAGACTGGAGAATCAGACATGACACTCTAGAAAGAATGGAGAATCAGACATGACACTTTAGAGAGACTGGAGAATCAGACATGACACTCTAGAGAGACTGAAGAATCAGACATGACACTCTAGAGAGACTGGAGAATCAGACATGACACCCTAGAGAGACTGGAGAATCAGACATGAAACTCTAGAGGGTACTGGGGAGAATCAGACATGACACTCTAGAGAGAATGGAGAATCAGACATGACACTCTAAGAGAGACTGGAGAATCAGACATGACACTCTAGAGAGACTGGAGAATCACTTCATGTTACGTCTACAGTCTCGTTAGACATTAAAATCTATAGATTTCATTCAACTTATTGCAATATTTCTTTCTTTTTTTTCTGTGCCGCTTCATTGATTAATCTCTAGTTTTAGTTTTTACACTCTTTCTCTAAAATCTTTCTATTATTGTTAATCGTTTTCGGTTAAGACCAAGAACATTTACATATGCAAAAAGAACAAATAATTACTGAGCTCGCAGTAATACGATCGTGTTTTAACAATCAGTAAAATTTATTATTTTAACTTAAATTAGATGTATTAAACTTTGAATTTATAAGATCTGGTTTAAATTCAATTCTTTTGACTGTTGTTAATGGTATGCGAGTATGTAATCTTTGAAAAGTTTGAAAAAAAAATTAACAATGAAAAATTGCAGAAAAAAAGAATTAAATTGCCATTTTGATTTAAAGTTATGCAATTGTAATTCTTCATGCTCTGTGGCTAACGACTTTTTACTTCCGGGACCGTCTGAAGCCTAGTATCTATATATATTATATATACATATTATTAATATTACATATATATATAAGAAGGGCCTCTAAATATAAAATAATGTGTCTTAGAGGCGGCCGGAGGACGTGAGGCCTGGTTCAGTCAAGGCCAACCTCTGAGCGTTGAGGATGTAAACTACCAGCCTCGGAGGAGAAATCTACGAAATTATTTCATATAAATCCACGAGATGAATGTACACTAAACGTTGTTGAGATGAATAAGCTTGGTAAAGTGTTGAGCTGGAATGAATATTAGGATTATATTTAGGATAATTATTCAGGTATATTATTATCAATCTGTAATTATCACTTTGTTGTGAAATATCTTTGACATTTAAAACAGTTGATAGAGTTGAAATTTGATATTTACAATGTGATTTGATAAATGCAATCTGGTGCATATCAAAATTATGATAGAAAAAGATAAAGTATTATCATAAGCTATTGTGCTACACATATTATAAATTATAATTCGACCTCTGCATAAGTAATTTTGATATTCTTCCAGGTTTCTGTTCAACCTGTGGTGTAAATCTTTGATATTTAAAACTTAGACTATTTGATCAAAACAATCTTCATAGTTTGAAATATCCAAGGTCTACGACATAGGGTTGCAAAGATATGGGGATAAAAAAATCAGAGTTTGTGGCAAAGATTCAATTCCTTTTGAAATAATTATTTCTCATTTAACTTGTTTTTAGTAGAAATTGTTTGCTCCCCTTTCCGTGAAAATGTTAGATTGCAACTAACTATATTGTCATGATTAAAAGTTTTAAAAACTTATTTGACTTTCTTAAACAACTTGACAATATTGTTTCTGTTCTAATAGAATAGTTCAAATAATAGCTTGGGAACCCGGCTTTGCCTGGAGACATAGCTACTCCAGATATATATAAATAGTTGTAGAATGTAGATATAAAGGTTACTTACATGTAAAGATAAGGCTAAAATGACGACCTACTTTAACTACCAAGATCTGAAAAACAATTACTCTTTAGAATTATGACTCATCTTTTTTTAATGCGTTAGAATTTGAACCAAATTTTTTTCATTTAGGATTACGCCGCAATTTTAGACTTTTTAAACCATCTTTATAAATAAAGTTGTAATCTCTGTTTGTCCAATCATAACTCAGGAACTCCTGGACCGCTTAGCCTCAAATTTAAATTGAGGAACTCAGGAATGTTCTTAGCTTGGTTTTGAGATTCTAAGTTGAGAGGGTCAAACAAATCGGAAAAAATAGCTTGAATCGTAATTTACGACTAAGTGCGGGTAAACTGAGGGAGTACCTGTGCAACGCTAGGTTCCCAAGCTAGTACATAAATAAAGAAGAACTCTTCAGGTTCTAGTAAATATGCAGGCCTTGGAAACATTTTCCCCTTATGGTATGTATTGTACTGTAAGAGGAATATAAGAGAAACCCCTGTAATATAAATTGTACTGTAGTTGTTGGGAGGAATGCACACAGCGTTTGATTACATTCCTGCTAGAAACTGCAGTACATGCATTATATTATGGAAGTTCCTCATATACTCCTCGACACCTCCATTTCTACTGTATTTTAGAATATCTTCTGTTTGTTAACAGCCTGAAAATCAATATCTATTATTTCTATAATATTTTATATTTTGCTAACTTTGTAATATTTTAGTTTGATACGAGATGGTCGTTTACAGAGTTAGTTCTTCAATATCTTATAGAACTAGAACTATCATCACACAACATTTTTTACTCCTCAATCCTCCATAGATAGATATAGATCTAGAACTCTCCACTCTTCTATCCTCCAAAGATAGTTATAGATCTTGAACTCTCCACTCTTCAATCCTCCAAAGATAGATAAAGATATAAAATTGCAAAACTCAAGATTAAATATTATTTATTCTTTGTGTAAACATCAGGCTTTCCTTGACTAATTATGAAGCTACAGGTCCTGATAAGCAACCCTATTTAAATGTATGTTAAACATCTAGTCTATCAACCTTTCATTAAATTCCGAGCTTCCCAATCTGTCATTTTAATCTAAATACCTCTCTCATTAATCAATGTAATATAAGATTAAAATTTATCAATCAACATTTATAATTATTGTTAAACTTTGTGATTTTCTCTTGTATTTGTTTATATTTGTTACAATATATGATGGTAGATAATTTTCATTTTTTATACGGGTATAGAGTTAACCGTCTAAAGGTTCAGCATACAGATTTCCATGCGCAAGCACTTTTTATTCAATTTCTTGAAAGTTTGACTAAAGGGGAATGTCCACATTTCCANGGGGGGGGGGGGGGGTGGCAAAAAAATTTTTAAAAAAGGTATCAATATTTTTTCAAAAAAGGGGTTTTTAAGGGCGGGGCATAATGTTGCCAAGGGGGGGGGACCAAAATTTTTTTTTGCAATTGGTGCCCCCGCTAAACAAAAGCTCTCGTACGCCCCTGAATCAGTGTTCGCTTAGTATCCGAGGAGGTTAAAAGCATTTAATTTTGATCATTTTGAACATTCACATAAAAGTTTCCTATGACCAGAATATTTTATAGATTTTTTTTTGTGAAAATGGATTCCCTATCAGGCTGTGACATCCGTCTTGTGTTTACTTTTCCGCCCAAAGACAGTACACTGCAGTACAACAAATGTGTAAACCTCTGAAATAACTTTCCTTGCATTAGTACCTCGGGTACAGATACAGTTTTGCACTATCATTGCGCATATTGAGAAGGAAAACACTATTTCAGGTTTGCGGGGGGGGGGGGGGTTAAAATATGTGCATGGAAGATATTTCAAAGATGTGATATCGAGATTCAGTTGTAATGCATAATAAAGAGAATTTAAAAAAAACGATAGAATAAATTACTTTATTCTGGAAATAAATGACAATTTATGTAGACCAAATTTTGTCACTATAGTTACTATAACGTTAACCCGATTCCGATACCCAAAAAAGACTGGGATAACTGGGATAGGGGTAACAGTGATCCCCACCCTCTATTTCCTTCTTGTGATACAATTATTTAACATGTTACATATTTTTGGAAAGCCCTTGGGCCGGGTCTACCTCGTCTACCTAAATAATCTAAAGAAAAAAGGAAAAATTGCAAAAGGCCAACAATTTATCGCAAAACCAGCAAACTCAAAAATGCAAAAATATTTGCAAAATTTTCAACCCCAAATGTGTAATAAAAAAACTGAAATTGTGAAAATTTAAATTTTTAAGTGGAGGGCATGTTTAATTAGAAAAGTAAAAAAAATTTATCAGCCTGCCCTCGGCCTCAGACCAATACTTTTTGAGTTATCTTAAAAAAACGATAAGGTCGGAATATGGTATCGCTTGTTTAATGCTGTAGAAATCCAAGAGTTATTGACAAAAATTTAGACCGCAGAAGAGAGAAAGTTTTTAGAATAAAAAATTCCCGATTTAGAAGACGACTTCTGAAAATGGCTGGACGTAAACATTATTGTAGAATACAAGTACTATGTAGCATCTGATAGCATATAGCGAGATTTAAAAATATTGTAAAATTTAATTAGAATAAATTATTAGAGTTAAAACAATTACTATATAGTATGTAAACTGCACTATAAACACTGCAGTGAACAGAACTCCTCTAGTTCCGATTTTAACTATAAAGGGCACATGAGAAAAATAAAATAAATAAAACAACATCGAGTACATCATATTAATTCAGTATGATCCCTTGACATATCCATCACAATTTCTTTGTTTCATAAAGTTGTTAAATAACTTTTAACGTGTGTATTAGCTATAGGTGAATTGAAATCATTATTTTTATTAAACATTAAAATGTAAATTTGGGAGTTTGTAAAGAATTGTTAATCTGTTTTGCTTCAGACTGTTTTTTTAAAACATTTTCTCATTGTATATTATTGTTAAAAAAAGTAAAAAGGGTTTTCATTTTCGACAACTTCTCAAAATTTGGACGATTTTCATAAATCAATGCAGAAAAGAATACATACGTACCGGTTGTTACAAAAAGCAAAAGAATTAGAAGACGACTCTAATAAGGGGATTCTAGGATTAAGCCAGGAGGGGGGGGGTAAATTTTTTTTCACTACTCCCCCCTCCTTGTCAGGGGTTTAGAAAATGATGATATATCCCTTAATGTTAATCAGATATCGAGCTAGGTTGAACTTGACCTGGGCAGGGGCGTACGAGGGCTTTTCTTTAGGGGGGGGGGGGCACAATTTTTTTGGGTCCCCCCCTTGGCAACATTGTGCCCCCCCTTAAAAACCCATTTTAAAAAAAGAAATATTGATACCTTTTTTAAATTTTTTTGGCCCCACTCTCTTTATAACTTTATAAATTTATCACTTAACTCCATCACAGCTAACTAAATAAATAATCACAGCATCATTAAAAATTGTATTTTTACTAATAAACGAATTTTCTTCTGAAATTTTTAGATAGAATTTACTCAATCTACATATTCACCAATTCTTTTAAGCTACAATTTTCTGGGAATTTGCTTGCACAAACATATTTCAATAATTTTTTCAGTAAGGAGCTCAGACAGCCTTATAGGGTGTAAAGCTTTATGTGCAAGATCTTTAAGTCTGCTCTCCGTCATAGTACATCTTGTGTAATGAAGTATTCTCTTTAGAAGGCTAAAAATGTTCTCTCCTTGTGAACAGTGAATTTAGACAAATTCTTGGTCTTTGTCATTGTCAGGTGTTACTTTTTAAACGTATTTTCCTTTTAATTTTGTATTTTTGGAACTCCCAGGGGGGGCAAGAGGACTACTGCCCCCCCTAGGTACGCCACTGTGCCTGGCCTGCGGAAGGGAAATGCAAGCAGATGTAATATTAAAAGATCCTCCCCCATGGGAGGTTTTGTTTGCTCCAACCGTAAAAATGAGAACTTTCAGTTCCAAATTAACGTTAAAGATTTTATAAGGCAAAAATTTCGATTTTTCTGGAAAAAAACTTGAAAATAATATAACTTTAAAGATGTTATGATGAATTAGACCAACTCAAATGAAACCTTTACGTATCTAGCTAAAAAAAAGATTTATTTTTACATTTACCAAAAATCTTTAATGTATAAGATGAAACAAAGGTTGTCAAACGCGTTTTGTGACGTCATCTGCGGGTCGGATTTCAAACGGGTGCAGGTCGCCTCCCCCCCCCCTCCTGCAGCACTATACAAACAAAGAGAATAAATATCCGTTCCGATGCGACTTATTTTAAATTTTCAACTATCCGTTATAAAGACAAATAAAATCATTTATTTAAAAGATAAAACATTTCGCTAATTAGTAAAATTTAAGTGATACAATGATTAAAATCTTAATATAAAATTTAAACTGGCATTTTTAACTTCATAGTTTTGCCAATATAAAACACACTGTTAAAACTAAACTAATTATACATATTTTAGTTGATGTAAAAATACAACAAGAGGCATACTCAAGGGGGGGGGCGGGTCAGCCCCCCCTGGATTAGTAAAATATAGTCACTAGAGTTATCAGGCCTAAAGGGGTGCTCAGCCCCCTACCCCCCACGGCCCACCCCCCGGAAAGAAAACCAAATATAAGCCCCCCTTGAAAAATCCCTGAGTACGCCCCTGAACACAACTGACATGTTTTAAGAAATAATACATATTTCAGTTTATATAAAAAACATCATCGTCAGATGAAATACTTTCGCCAGACTTGTTGATCAATTCTCTGCTCTTTCCATCTAATAATAATATAAAATGTGAAATAAGATTTAACAGTGAGGACCATGCAATAAGAGTTAAAGCATGACTTTTGAATAAATTAAGATATTATTTTTATGAATCCTTAAAAGAGTCATAAAAACCTCAAAAACGAACCAATTTATTTCAACCAACTGTACAGTGTGTCACACGAAACATAGCAGTAGCAAGATTACTTGAAGGTGGTCTTTATCTTTGAAATTATTGACAGATTTTATTCGTTAACCATAATGTTAGAAGTATAGTTCTATAGTTATTGACCACAAAATAACCCTAGTCCTGGCAATTCCAAAATGTGGTCTGCCTTTCTCGTTCTTTCAATATTACCAGAGATATGGAGAATTTTGTTCAGAGTAAGGCAATTTTGGTTTTATTTAATAAATTGAAATCTAATCGAAATTCTAAATATCTCCTATAAAGTTGACAGCACAAAAAAGGTAGACAATACTTTAAAAATGCCAGGACTGGGAGAATTTTGTGATTATTGTGTCCTTGTAATAAATACAGTAGCAAATCCTATATTTATAAACCTGAACACACCTAGATATACAATATACATTGTCTGTAAATCTAGATAAACGTCAGTCGGAATAATACTCCGCTTTGATTACAGTGTTAGAGTCTATGCATCATGTATTAACGAGAGGGATTGAGTTGTATCTTGTTAAATAATACCGAAGAAACTGATAGAGTCGTATCTGGTGTAAATATTATTGAACGGAATAGTGCTTGATTGAGTTGTATCTTGTAAGACAGATACCGAAGGATACGGAAGGATATGCCTGAATTGGTACCGGTCTAAAAGACTTTGTTGGAGTAGGGCATTTACTACATTCTGATGCATTCATGTAAATTAGGTTTACGAACAACTTCTACAAATAATTTCAAAGATCTAAGACGACCTTCAAATCTTCCCAATGACTGAGTTACCGCCAGAAAATGTAACTGATCAGATTAGCCATTTTGGAGTATATTTAAAACAATCTGCAATACAAACAAACAGACAAGTCAAATTTAAATATATATGTATATTTAGATACCATGTGTTCAGGATGCTTTGTATTTATCCTTCATACTTTTTTATTTTTCTTTAACATGGAACACTACCCTTCATATATTATCAAACAATAAGAATTCAAATCAGAATTTTAGGGACATCTTCCCATCCTACTGACCACATTTCAGACTTGAAGTGAATTTACTAAATCAAGAAAGAATTTCAAATTTTCCAGATTTTTCAATTTCATTGTTGGGTTTCCAGATAAAAACTATTTATTTAAGACAAAATTCTTAATAAAATTTCTTTGGCATAAAGAACCAGGTTTTACAACACAATCAAAAACAACAAAAGGTGAATTTTCAATGCGTGAAAAATGTTTTTGAAGAAAGGAGGAGGAGGAGGAGGGGGGTGAAATACAAGCTTCTCAAATTCTTAGTCCTGCAGCATGAATTTTGAATTTTATATTGATAAAATATCTAATATCTAAATTCAATACTAGCCCTTGAGGTTAAAGTCTACCTATGGGATGTAATAAAATATCTTAAATGTAAAGATTAAACTAAATTTTCAAAATGCTCGTTGATGCTCACTCAGAACTAAGCCCCATTTATAAATAAAACAGCCCTGTAAAAACAATCTCCAATATAGTTGTAAAAGAACTAAATACTGGTCACAAAATGTGACAAGGCAGGCATATGGGCGCTACGACATCTGCTCTATTTCCATTTGCTCTATGGTCATTTGCTCTATGGCCACTTGCTCTATCAAGTCATTTGCTCTATACGTCATTTGCTCTATATGTCATTTGCTCTATATTCAATCTGCTCTATGACTAAACACGTCATTTGCTCTATAACATAAAAATACACTATAAAATAGCTTTTATTGGAATTCCTGAGCGTAACTGGACTATGAAATGCGGGAATTTTTTTTGGAAAATTCGCAAATTGCAGTTTTCATCAGTTCTTCAAAGTCCATCATGACAGCGAGACTGCTCAATAATAATAATAACAATAATAATAATAACACCTAATATTTAACTTGGTCTCACAATATGTACAAATAGCAGACAAACAAAACTATCTCCTGGAAGTTGGCGGAATAATGAAACTGTAGGAAGAATTGTAAAATGTAAAATTGTAAAAATATTGTTTTAATATGATTAGATATTTATATAAATATGTTTATAGAGCAAATGACGTGTTTACTCATAGAGCAAATGTTGAGTAGAGCAATTGGACCATCACAGTCATAAAAATGTTTATAGAGCAAATGACGTGTTATGTCATAGATCAATTGACGTATAGAGCAGATGACATATAGAGCAAACGTCGTGATCTATGAGCTATAGAGCAAATGGTTAATAGAGCAAATGGCCATAGAGCAAATGACCATAGAGCAAATGGAAATAGAGCAGATGTCGTAGCGCCGGCATATGTGTGTTCCAAGCTGATAGAAAGAAAAGTTTTGATGTATATTTTAAAATACTTTATACAACCTGTTACCCGCTCTTAAGTTAGAAGTTATAAATCTAGGAATGGCCAAAACTTTTTTGTAATTTATGAAAATCAGGATTTAAAAGTTTTCTCGGCAATAAATGTTAATATAGTCGAATATATGCCAGGAATAAAAATTTCAATAATTTCATTATTAATAATTTTTAGAACATCACAAAATTTGGAAAAGATGTGTTTCCCACACGCACCCCTGACCCTCTAGTAAAAGTAAATTCAACCTAAAGTTTGACCGCGTCAATCTTGTTGCACCGGCTAGTCCTATTGAGTGTCTGCTTTATTAACCCAGCGTCCGGGCGATACAGTACAAACTGGGACCAGAAAGGTTGACCCGGCTTGGAAATTCAAATTTTCTACGGCTGCCCGTGCCCAATTAACCGAATATACTAACGTAACATAAAGGGACTCCAGTCGTTATTGTAAGTGCAACTCTACATTTATAGAGAAGCATGTCTAATACATAGCTCTACCCTTGAAAGCGTGTCTTGTCAAGTATGAATTAGATATCGCGATGTCATAATTTTGAAAACTGATTACTGTTAATTGAGGTTTCTCTACAAAACTGACTTGCATATTCTACTGCAAGCTAGCAGCACATTCTTGATCAGATAAAAGTTTCAAGGGTAAATTGAGAATCGGGCCTGCCCCTCCTTTCCTTCTCCACAAAGAAACGATGTTCACTTCCAAACCAAACAATTGAAGAAACCTGAGCATTAAAACGATTTTCTGGATTTACTAAATTTTGAAATAAATTAGATTTTGTCCTTTAAATACAGCTTACATTAAAATTCTTGTTAATCTTCTATATCTATATACTTGTTAAAATTAATTCGAAATATAAGGAAGACGATTTTTCCGACTCAAATGCCTTAGCCTTTTCTCCAGATGTATGNGCCACTTGGGACACTATTTCAAAACATCCGTTTTATTAAATAAATGTTAGAAATATCCATGTAGATCTCCTTTTATTTTATCATATTGACTTTTAAAGTCAACAATACTATCTATACTTTGCTTGTAAAGTTGTCTGTCAGTTTGTATCCAATAAACAGCAAGACGCCTGAACCGATTTTGTGTTAGACCTCACTTGACCCTAGTGAAGGTTTATGGTTTTTAAAAATTTCAAAAATTTGCCTCCTACAAAATTCGATTTTCATTAAATTTTAAAAATCCACGATTTTTTTTTTAATAAAATTCGTGGATTTTTTGTTTTTGTTTTTCAATGTATACAAAGAGAAAATGGGCACGAAGCGCCCAGAAAGCCTAGTATTATATATTCATTTTATTTGTCATGAACCAAATTATGCGCTTAGCAGTTGATAATATCTGTAGAACGAAAGGATGATTTGAGGGTAAAACTTAAGGCTGAAGAGTGTTGTTAAATGTTTCAGGAAAAAAGAAAATCCTCAAACCTGTCAAACTGTTCACAAAACTTCTATAGGGAGACAGGGAACCAACTCTAAATAAAAGAAAACATTTTACAATTTACGATTTTTAAACAATAAAATTTTCTACAACCTAAATCAAAACAGAATAAAAAACTATCCAAAGTATTTATGTGGTGGTTTGTTATATGGTAATCTATAATTATAAAAGTCTATATAATAATCTAATAAAGCTCTTTGCTTATATATATGTATAAATATATTCGCTGTAGCTGGGATAACGGCTGAACCGAATTGGCTGAAATTTTTGAGGGAATCCATTCCCTCCATTTAGCTATAATCATATTTTAATGCCGAGTAAACAGCAGAAGTAACTGCATATGTGACTATAAATAAAAATATATAAACCCGGGCTACACCGGGTACTCCAGCTTGTCGGTAATATGTAAATTGGAAAAAAGGGAACATTCTGCAGTTAAGATTTCACATCTAGAAAAGGTTTTGTCACATGGATCCGAACTCCCCGGATCCTATAAGCACTAAACCATTCAGGGTCATAACGTTATGATTTTCCAAGATTTAGGGAAAAATTTCATTTGGACCCTAAATATGTTCCTTGAAAATATGAAAAAATGGCTTAACCAATAAAATGTATACCCTAGAAACTATCTAAAATCGACATCATACTTACTTAGAGAGAGGACCAGAGAAAAAATCATGAACACTTCTACTCCGATTCTTCCCAGGGTTTACTCCGAGCTTTTCCCCGAACCTTGTTTTTCAAATTTATGTATTAAAAAATAACTAACAAAAAAACTTTTAAATTTTTGCGAAAAAAGGAGTAATCTCTGTTTAGACAGGTTTACACACAAATGGTGAGATTTTTAAGACAACTGCACGGAATTTAAACTGTTTGTTTCCTTAAATTCATGATTTCCTGCAAACTTGATTCTCTCTTTTTAAACCATTTAATAAGCCATTCAAGACAGAAACTTAATTAAAGTTTAGGATCACATTATTTTAGGAGTTTCAGGGTATTTTAACAGGCTCATCCTTTGTGGGTATCTCCGTATGTCCGAACATATCAATGAACCTCATATCTATTTTATAGAACTTGATTTAATCACGGGAATTTTCTAGCTGTGTAAAAAAAATTATAAGTTCTGAGACTTTAATAGCAAACGTTTATTTTCAGGCAAAGCTGGGTTCCCAAACTAGTCAATAATAAGTTTTAATAGAAAAGAATAAATCAAAACTTTGATGTTATTTTATTTTATAAAAAATGTTTGAGCTTTGACCTCTCAAAATATTTATCATAAAATATATTGTGGAAGACGATATTTTCCACCTCTAGAAGTCTGAAGAGTTCTGCCAAAGCCAAACCAAATATATTTAGATTTATACATGTGATACAGTCAGTTGTTTTTTAATCTCGGTATAGACAAAATATATATCGTTACTGAACCTTCTAGCCTCGAATTAGATTCCGTCCTCACGACTTCTATAATATATTTATTTGAACCTTAACATCATAAACAATATTCATGATCATAATAAATTTTCTGAATATTTGAACAATGAAAGTCATTACATTTAATATTTAAACGAATCAAGTTAAAAAGGCAATTCTTTGACAAATCTAGAAGAAAAGATCATGGAACGAAATATAAAATTAAATCTTATTAAATTGAAATTTAATTAAAAAGAAGCAATTTTCTAAAAATTAGAATTTCCTTTAGTCTTTTGAAAATATCTTTAGGAATTTTTCATATTTGCATTTTCTATTTTCTACTCATCTGAAAAGCTAAATAACACTGTACTCATATAAACCGTAGTTGTGGAAGGTTATTGTAGTATTTAAAGCATGGTGTAATATTTAGAATATGACAAGATGCTAAAACCCCTCAACCCTTTATCTGAATCTAAGCCGAGTAGAGAACCTGGAGAATAAGAGCAGTACGCTCCAGGATCTTATACAGGATAGACGTTAGAGCTTAGCTCCGTTTATCCCACTAAGGCCTCCATGGGACATGTACTTCATGGACAGATCTCAGAATGATATATCTTACCAGGACTACCAGAGGACTAAAGAGGACGCCAGCCTTCTTCCCATCCTACATGAATACATACTCGGAATCCTCAGCACAACTAAGGATATCAGAAGACACTCTTTATTCTCCAACTTGTACTCGGACAGCACCACTGGAGACACAGAGCTGCTAGAGGATCCAGCCTTTATTCTCCAGTTGGATCTATGAACAGAGTTACAGGGGCCTTAGAGTAGCTAAGGTGTTTATATGCGGAAGCTCCATATTCTCAAGTTGGTTCTAGTAATAAAGACACTCAAGATACAGAGCAGCCAGGATCTCTAGGATAGGTAAAAGCTCCATCTTCTCTCAATGGAGACACCCAAGATATGGAGCAGCCAGAATACCAACATAGACCAATGACTCCAGGTGTAGAAGAGATCATGAGGATCTACGAGGACGGGATCTATCGTCCACCAGACATGATTGAGAAACAAGGAGGTCTACAGATAAAAGGATCTGGTATCAGAGATGAAAGAAGCTGCTCGTTGCAGACAGCTCTCCATCACCCTGTTGTAGATGATTCTGAGTACGGAGACGCCGTTCATTGCAGAGTAGCTCTGAACACATCATGTGGTAACAATAGCTGCAGGACACATAGGAGAACTAGGATATCCAGGACACATAGGAGAACTAGGATATCCAGGAAACATAGGAGAACTAGGATATCCAGGAAACATAGGAGAACTACCCGGGTAGAATCTTAGAGTCTGAAACCTAGTCTTAGACGCCGGGCCGACCTCCTCAGACCCTCTGTTTTTGGAAAAAAATATCAAATTTCA